TTTTTTCTGTATTTGATGCAATTCATTATTTCATAATTATTTCAATGTTTGAATATTTCGCGCGCAATCACGTGACTACACGAGTTCCTGTCCCCCCAGCAATGTACATGGCGCGTTCCTCTTATAGGGTCTCTAATTAACACTTACTTTTAATACAGGCCATATTTTCCATAACATTATTGAGAAATAAAAACTCCTTTTAAAGATTAAGAGGAATATTCTAAAAGGTCATAATATTCCAAACAGACTTAAAGATTATCGAGAAACATCGGTGCGACGAAATCTTGGTGCATTGTCGGTCCCTTCGAGTGGTCTCGGAGTGTTATGTAAATATATGCGATACCATGAAGAGAAAAGATATTCCTTATAGAGAAAAACCTTCTGTATACATAATTTCTATTACACTTTTACTAAAAACATAAGCTCTTCCATCGGCGGACTATGATGGTGGACCCTTCTACTATTGATCAATCAACATGCGGAAGGGATTTCGAAAACCGATTTTTCACTATAAAAACCCTCGAAAAACTAGCATCATTGCTACTTCGTAACAACTCACGATACGCGTCTATTCACCGCTATTCAAGCAGCAGCAAGACATTGAAGAACGCATCAGCTCAAAAACAATTTTCTTGGGGTCTGAAGGAATCACCATAGATACATAAGCAGTAACGTGAGTTTTGCAATAATATTTAACGAATCTTCAACTTCCGAAGTCATAGTTCCTCCCTTATCTCTACTAAAGTCGTATCTTTCTATCGTAAGAACTGAGTGAAGCGCAACTCGTACGACAACGTACTGTTTTTAAAACAGAATTCGGGGAATTTAAAAATTTTTAAACGAATAAAACGATCCTACGGAGAATATAAATACAGTAAATTGAAATTAAAGGATAACCATTCAGACAAGTTAGAGTTTGGAAAAGTTCGATAGGCACTAGTAGATTATGCTTTTGAGAAAACGTGGGAAGCGCATGTAGACGAAGGTGAAAAAATCCGTGAAGCGGGTGGCAACGTGATATTAGATACTCAAATCTTAATTCGAATCAACAACAGCACAAAATTCATCTGTGATCGAGCCGATAGTAATATTTACTACGAATTCATATCGCGACGCGCATATTACACGCAATGTTACAAATTTATATCAAAGCGCGAATATTTCACGTAATCTTCCGAAAGATGATCAGAACGCAAAATTACCGGTGGCATACATACCACAACTCAGTAGCCAATACAAAGAGCTGACAAAATCTCAGTCGATTGATAAAATTCCCAAGCATCAAGACACACAAATTCACATACTTAAAGCAAACAAATTCGGATATCTTAGACTTAGATACAGTAGCGTCGAATATCGGTCAGGGATCACAGGCAATGGCAATCCATCCGCTGGCATTACTCCTGATAGCAATGATTAGGGTTTTTTCGATTATCAGAGAAAACCGGTACTAGTCAAGTTGTTGCTAAACTCAGAATTACAAACATGCTTCAATAATGTGCGATCTAATGTGGTATCTGAAATTAGCACAGAAAAAATTCGTCGTGTCGATTAAACGAATCGGTCATAAATCAATCGTCGCATCAAGTGAAAGTCCATTTCATATCAACTTACAATAACTACTGTAAAACAGTTAATTGCGTTGTATTAGATAGAATCATGATAAAGGTACTTGCGACATCTTGTAACAAAACATAGTTAAGATTACAGGTAACATTAGATTAGCAGACCGGACACTTTATAAGAATTTAAATATAGATATTATACTTGGAGCCGAAATATTTTCCAAATTCCTATACACCGGTCTGATAAGGAAAACACGCTCGCATCTACAATTACAAAATACACAATTGGGGTGGATTGTATCCAGTAAGGTACCCAAAGATAAGCCAGAAACTGGCTCATTCTCTCGCAGGCTCAATCCTATTTGTTTGTCTCTTTTTCTCTTCTTACTTAGTATCGTGGCGGTTTCATTTGCTTTTTTTAAATCACCCCCATTCTAAAGAAGTTTTCACTTCAATAAAACGAAACGTTCGTTATTGTTGTTTTTTTAAATCACCCCCATTCTAAAGAAGTTTTCACTTCAATAAAACGAAACGTTCGTTATTGTTGTTGTTTAATTGATTACGATAATTTAACATATTTCTTATGTTACACAATTTGTTACATGAATTTACGCAACCTTTTTGTTCTTTTTTGTTTTAACTCTATGGTATTTTTTTTTCTTTTAATTATTTTATTATTCGAAGGGGAACCTATGGAAGGGCACATTGTAAGTGGCATATATTTTTTCGGTTCATTCGCATTTCACTTTGCTCGAGCCTATGCCGTTACATTGTTGACTGCCAGGATTAATCATCAAAGTAAAACCGAACTACCGTTGTTGTACAATTGCTCATCTTCCACCTATAACATTGAGGTATATTATTTATTATTATTATTATTTATAATATAATATTGTAATATTATTTGATATTAATTCATATTTAGAATAATTATTAATTCTTTCGTTTCTAAAAACCCGTATATGGGCCGTATACCGTGCATATATATAATAAACAATTTATGTAAAAACTGTGTTGACCATGTAACAAAAGGATTAAATTAATATTATTTTATATTGTTATATATTATTTAGATTGAAATCAATATATATACATGTTAAATTAGAAAATTAATTTCTTTATGGTTTTCCTATATTTTTTTTCTTTTTTTTTTTTTTTAATTTTAGATTTTTTTTTTTTTCTATCATAAATTTTTATATTTGATAGACTGAAAGATTACAATATCTGCTTACGACAGACGATGCTGCTCTGACAGGCTTATGTTTTGTTTACATCGCAAGGAAATTCATGCTAACAGTAAGAATTTTTATATTGTTGTTATTTTTATTTAAAAAAACAAAAACAAACAAAAAAGTAATCGACAAATAATTGTGTTTTCTAGTTGGCCGGAGCTATAATAATGTACGAGGTCGTACTATGTTGATTCAATGTTGCTATAAAGACGTAAAAGTGGAAACTTTTATCTAACATTGTCTTTTTCTTCCTTTCTTAGTCTCTCTCTCTCTCTTTCTAGAGATTATTTATAATTAAACAAAAAAGACCAAATAGAAAAGAAAAATATCTTTACCTCGCAAATGTTTGTGATGTTAGATTGTACAGTTTGTTGTATGTTATTTATCTGTACCAATACCAATTCGTAAGTGACTATAGTACCAGCTATCTAAATGATTTAATAATCATTTATAAAAATTATCTTAGAATTAAATATTGAAAAGAAAATAAAATAAAAGATAATTAATACTTACTGTTAATACCAGGCCTCTGGTTACGGAGAAAAATTTCATCCCCGTTAAACTGATATTGTCCGTAGTAACTTGGGTCAAAAATCTCATTACCTTAAAAACAAAAATAATATATATTTATACATATACTATTTATATATGTAATATAAAATATATATATTATATATATATATAAATAATAATATATGTATATTTGTACATATATGTATAATATATTATTTAGAAGGACAAATTATTTGAATAAAAGATATATACAAAAATTTAGAAAAATGCTATATAATTAATCTATAATATATATTATAAAATATATACATGTATTGGATTTACCTCTGTGGAATAACTGGCACTAGATACACTATAAAGTATAGGTGCTGGTAATCGTGATTCATCATTAACGGATGCCGCGTACAATGAAACTGCTGTAGTTCTTGTTAGCAGAAATCCAAACGAGAAACAAAAGTAAATCTTCTGTATGTGACTTCGTTGTAAACTTTTTGGATTTTATTTTCGTTTTTGTATTTTTAGTTTTGAAACAAATCACAAATTATTTTAATATTATTATCTTTAGTTACTACATATATAGAGTGTATGTAAGGGGTGGTAGAGGTTATTGTGTTTGATTAAAATATTATTAATTTGAAATATTATACACTATAATATAACGAATGTAATAATTGGAATAAGAAAATAGTAAAAAATTTGTTTACTTGAATGAGAACAGCAGTTGGATGCAAATGAAATACAGATCGGTGGCGAATGATAAAAATACTATAGCTGATATATGAGAATCGACTCTTCTTGTTAAACCAGCCAAATGATTGTAATCGTTTCTAGCCTCTGCCCACCACCAATCCGGCATAGTCTTTGGAAAACAAAAAGAAAAATAATTATTAACAAAAGAAAAAAATGTTTGAAAATTTGTTTTACATAATAATTGTATAATACCTTTCCTTTGACGGAATTAAGACGACTGTTCAATTGTTGAAATTGATCAGCAAGTGCCATGCTTACGAGAATTAAAAAAAGATCGACGAAATTCCATGAGAATGTACTCAATATATTAACCGTGTCCACCAATATGGCTTTCCATAAACTGTATGTCTTTCTCGAGAATACCTATTTTTATTCGCGGTAAACACAATTATTGCATTTTAAACGAACCTTCAGCTACCACCACCACCGCCACGAACACCAACACCAACATCAATAGTAGAGATAGCAGAAAAATAAGAGGAGGAAAAAAAAACAAATAATAAAGGAAGATTATATCTTGCTAGGGGTGGGGGGTGGGGTTAGCAGTAGTAGGGAAAAAAAACAAACCCATGCAAAAGAACCGTATAGATATTTATAGTCAAAATAAACCTTTTTTTTCTTTTTTCTTTTCTTTTTTTACAAGCAATAACGTTACCTGAGGAAATTGCGATTCGAAATATTCAGCTACTATATCGGAATCTCCACGATATTTTGCGCAAGTTGTTGCGTATGAAAAACCCTTTAATATTGACAAAGTGTGTTCAACTAAAAAACAAATCATTTTGTTTCGATCGATGAAGAATTTTTATTCAAATGAAGAATACTGTTTAAAGAAAAGAAAAAAAAAAAGAAGATTAAGTTACTTACTTAATGCCAGGATCATGACGATAGCTGTGATCAATTTAAATCTACCAGCAAGACTTAAGCGAGAAACTTTACGATGTCTGAACATAAATTCACGTTCGAGTTTTTCCCATGTCAATGCCAAACATGGCCACAATTTTGCCAATTTCATGAACAACAACGATGCTATCAAAGATGTCCCATAAAAAACTAAACTAGCTGTTGAGATAAAGTATTATTATTTTTTTCTTTTTAATATGAAAGTATTATGAAAATTAATTGCGTAATTTTATATATATATATATAAATTTTAAATATATAATATGATTAAAAAAATATAAAATATTAAAAATTAATATATTAAAATATTAATTTCATTGTATTGTTCAGATAGTGCAATTTTTTGAAGTCAACAAAATTACTTTATATGCCAGTAAAATATTATTTAATTTATATATATATTATTATTTTATTATATATATTATATTAATATATTAAATTATCTATATTTGTAATATATTAATAGAGATGTATATATATATTTATTTATATATTGTTTTTTAAACAATTTACCCACTCGTCTTTATGGAATTAAATCCCGTGTTAGCAAATTGTAAGATGTTAAATACGGTCATTACGGTAGAACCTAAAAACGAGGCAATGGTGTACAATAATTTAGGACTACGCCAGGTGAATCTGAAAAAAAAAAGTAAACGTAAAAAATTCTTTCAATTATTTTATAAAATCAAATCGAATCAGTTAACAGTATCTACTTGCTTTAGATAGGACGCATCCGGACTGTTGACACCGGAAACTGGAAGCATCGAAAAACAATTGGCCAATAGAATGATTGGTCTGATCGAAGCGTGAAAACTATCGGTTGCGGGATTAAAACTGTTCACCAAAGACACGTCCGGATCCGATACTAAAACATTCGATAAAATATTTTCTCGCAAAAATATCCGATATTCCATTCTTCTTCTTCTTCTTCTTTTGTTTTCTTTTTTTCTTTTTGTTTATTCGTATTATTTTATATTTTTGTTTTTAAAATTTTGAATGGAACGAATCAAAAAATAAAATACCGTTTTGTTTACCTTCCGGATTTTCAACGTCGGTCTTCAAAGTGTCGAATCTACTTAATTGAAGATTACTCCTTGGCGACCTGGAAATGTTGTTCCTTTTAACGAACAATTTTTTAAAACGTTGCCAAATAGTCCTATTAGATCTAGAATTTCGATCCATAATTTTATTTATTTTATTTTCTTGTTCTTTTTCAATTTTCCCTTCACGTTTAATCAATTATTTCTCATCGCGATAATTGCGTAACTAATTGTCAACCATTATTATTATTATTATTATTATTATTATTTTTATTTTTATTATTGTTATCGTTGTTGTTTTTATTATGAAAATCTAATATCACTAGGGATTAGAAAGAAAGATTAAAAAAGAAAAAAAAATTGTTCGAAAGTAACACTCTCGCGATATTCGATGTAGACACGATCTGCACTGCACAAAATTGCATAGCGAACAGAAGACGGATTTTTCTTAACAGTGGTCTTTATTGGATTAGGAGAAAACAGGTGGTGGGTGTTTTATAAACAATGGAAACTCGATAAAAACCTTGGTGGCATAGATTGCGAACGCTTACGGACCTTGAGAATCCGATTTGTTAGAAAGAGAAGGATGATCTCTCTCAACGAAAAGTTGTATTATGTCGAATGAAGAAAAAAAAGGAAAAAAAGGGGAAAAAAAGGAAAAAAAGGAGAAAAAAGGGAAAAAGAAGATAGTAATACTTTGAAAATTACATCGGGTACAATATTGTTGAAACTAATTTCTAATTTTTAGTTTTTTTTTTTCCAACTTATTTTTCTTCTTCTTCCTTTATTGACATAGAATAATCGTCGTTTATTCTTTCGTCAATTAATTTCATTTTCATTCGATCATTTCATTAGTTAATTGTCACGATTGTGCAATTGCGTTTTAATTTGAATCGATATGCATTCATTTTGCTAGTAATGATTTTTACTCGACGGTTTTTCTTTTTGATCATTTTATAAAATAATAAATATTATATTAGTTGTAATTTAAAAATCAGTTTTTTTTTTAAATATATTTTTTCATTGGTAAAATAGATTTGTTTTTTATTAAAAATTATAGATTAAATTAAATGCCTAATGGGTTAACTATTTGCAAATAATTCATTCGTCCTACAACGTATTTTTAATTTGTTCGATTAAATGAGTAATAATTATGTAAATAAAATTGCAATATTTTGTAATCATTTTGTAAATCATTTATTTATTTTATTTTCTCATTAATTGTTTCTTTTTTAGATGGAACTAATTTATTTATTATAATTTTGTTAGAACATTCTACACTTTGTGGTATCTTTGAAAAAGTTATAATACAATTTTATGTAAATTATAAATGAAAGGATATCATGTTGATAAATTTAATTTTTTTTTTTTTTAAATACGAACACAATATATTTATGCACAAATATTAATTGAAGTAATAATTAACAATCAAAAACTTAATCGATTTGATATTTCTTATATTCTTTTTTTCGCATTTTTGTAGTCAATGCGTAAAAATGGCGTTGGGTCTGTGTTTTGTTGCACAATTCGTGAAATTCACAAATACGAGCCTATTAAAATTATTCTTCTGAATTTTGTCGCGAAAAAATGAAAAAAAGGAATGAAACTAATTATTATTTTCTTAACAATATACCACTAATTTTTCTTATTTATTTTTTTTTTTGAAATATATTTAAGTATAATTATTGAACCTCTGTGTACCATTTGTAAAATAATTTGTAAAAAATTGATATCTTAAATACTATTTCAATTAAAGCGTAAACTCAAAGCACACAGTTTATAAATCAACAATAATTTTAATATATATTAAAAAAAAAAAAACAAAAAAAAAACGAAATATTATCGGCATACTAACTTGACATGAATGGTGATGGGTTGATGTAATTTCGGCATATCTGTCCAAAATGTAGTTCTCATATTGTTACCAGCTCTTATTTCTTCCTTTAAACCGCACATTATATTTTTTCAAACATTTCTAATACGTAATCGTTAATTTAAGCTATTATTATATTGTTACACGTAACATACACACATATGTTGTACTCACACATATAAACATATACAAAATAAAAAAAATAAAAAACAAACAGAGAGACACACGTATAAACAGAACAAATGAAAATGAAAAAAAAAAAATAAAATAAAATAAAAGATTAAAAAATGAAAATATAATGAAAAATAAGAATTCGAATGTGAAGGAAGACGCGTGAAGTCTCGTAAAGTAATAAAACCCTCTGCTTACGGCACTCGTAAGGGTCGAAATAATCGTTTCTGTCGAGTAACGCGACATAATATAGACTAGGAGATTTACTTGATAACGGAGAAGTCTATAGAACGTATTGTTTCTATCCCTACATACAATCTCTCACATGAAAACTAAACTTTTCTATACGTTAACACTTACCATACCATAGTTCATATAGAATAATGACAGATGTTCTTTTACTTGTATGCGTAGAAGAAAGTGTCATCGTGTATAAACATACAAGTTTGGACAAGGGATATTTAAACTTAATTACAAAACTTACGTTCTTTATCTTTGACAGCAAGTCTTTCTGTCTTGTCATGAAAAAGAAAAACCGTGTAACAACGTTAGAAAGAAAATTAATGGGGGTTGAAAATATAAGTAAGGAAATATATTATATTTATTAACTTGTCTAATAAATAAAAGTAAAATATTTGTCATAAATATATTTTGTTTTTATATAAATAAGAAATATTCTTTAAAATCGTAATAATGTATATTATAAGAGAGAGAGAGAGAGAGAGAGAGAGAGAGAGAGAGAGAGAGAGAGAAATTAAATGGAGTTTNGAGAGAGAGAGAGAGAGAGAGAGAGAGAGAAATTAAATGGAGTTTTATATAAGTAAGGAAATATATATTTGTTAACTTATCGAAAAAATAAGAATAAAATATTATTCTTATTAATAATTAATTACATTAAATATTAAAAATTATGTAATTAAAATTAAATATAATAATATTTAATTTTAATTATTATAAATATATTAATATAATTAAAGATTATATATACGATATTGATTTTAATAATTATATAATTAATATAATTAAAAATTATATATACAATATTAATTATATTAATTATATAATAAATAAATATATATATTAATTATCTAGTAAATTAATAATAATATAATAAATTAAATATTGTTATACATTATAAATTATATATATATTATTATATATTATATATATTATATTAACTAATAATTAATTATATAATTAATATAATTAATATATATATAATATAAACAAAAAAGTAAAAAAATAAAAGGAAGGAAAATTAAAGGGGTTGGAAATAAATAAGGAAATATATTTATGAACTTATCTAACAAATAAGGGTAAAATATTTATCTTACTTATTTTTTTTATATAATAATTATTATTTATTATTGTTGAAATATATATATATAGGAAATATATATATATATAAGAGTAGGCGTGTATAGGTGAGTTCTATCGACATTATCATCGATCTTACGCTTATCATCGAATATCCCCTTCAAAAAAAAAAGAAAATATTGTATCTCATAATTTATAGTTTCTTCTCTTGGTAATATTTTTTTTTCTTTTTGCAAATATACATATATGTATATGTAAAATAGGAAACATGGTAAATATAAATGAATTATTTAAAAAATAAAACTACCATTTTGTATTATCTTCAATTAGTACCATAGGCTTATATATATAATTTAATTTAAAAAAAAAATGATTCAATGATCTAATAAGATCCGTCGTGAACATATATATGTATAAAGTTTGATATATAGTCATCGTCATTGTAATCTTTTACTTCTTGGTCTTCGAACGTTCTATTACAATTCTCGTTCTTGTACTACAGGGTGTCGACGATCCGATAAGGGTCTACCCTTTTTCTAACAGCATAACCCCCTGCCCCAGTCGCGTGCACGAGTTCACCTAAGTACACCCTACCATCTAACCATTGAAACCCCCCTTGTTCCCCACCATTCACCCTCTCTTTTTATCTATTCATCCCTACATATATATACATACATACATACATACATTTACATATTCAACTATGTGTTGATGAAAAAGAGAGTAACGCGTAAATGCAAACACCTCTTTTACTGACAACAAGCTGTTCAAACAAAATTTTTCCATCGTCATAACATCGTCACAGCTGCATTGGCTTCCAAATAAAAGCACGACTCGTTGTACACACATACAAACACACATATGTGTATATTATTATGCAGGAGAGACACACTAACATACGCGTAAATCTCTTGCGTGCGAGCTTGCAACTAGTCCATTCGTTTAACAATCTATAAAACTTTCTTCCATGATTATTATCTAGATAGTTTTACAAAAACCTTCATTTTATCTATCCATTCTTCCAGGTATCCCATAAAAACCGATAAAAAGTATATATATATGTATATATGATGAGTTTGTGCGTTTATGTGTGTGTGTGTGTGTGTTTGATTTTTTTTAATCATAAATTTATTGGACCTTAGTAGGAAAATAATATTAAAGTTTATTTTTCTTTTTTTCTTCTGTTTTTTTTTTTTTTTAATTATATCATACGAACGAATTCAGATCTTTTATATCGTATCTCTTGATACATTAATTTATTATTTAAAAATTATTTATCCGATTTACTTACATACATATAATATAAATGTGCTATCAATCAAACATTTGTTGTTTTTTTTTGTTCTACCCCTTTCATCGTTAAATCAGATTTTAAATTTCATACATAAATTAAAGTATTACACTTTCGCGGAAAATAGGGGGTTTGTTTCTTTTCGTAAGATCGTTATGATTCACCATCTAATCGTTTCTACTATTATTACCATCGATCCGATGTGGACTATTATTAATAGTAATTCGTTCGTCATATCCTGTCTTCTTTTTTTTTTTGAATATTTTCACAATAATCTTAACACTTAACGGACGGGTCGAATCTGCTCTGTCTTTCCTAGTTTCCGGGCATTTTTTATGAAAATTAAATAAACATGAATATATGGATTTAAAGCGTTGTAGTTTTATTAAATCAATTATATTTTTTATAATATTTTATTATTTATACCTGTAACTAACTGATGGTATCATGGAAAAATAACAATGTGCATAAAAGAAAACCCTAATGCAACATACTAAAAATTCACGGAAAAACGTAAATCTACGGGGCCCGTCCGTTAAGTGTTAATTACCTCGTAAGGTAAATTTGTCGTAATATTTACATATCTATGTTACACCAAATTTTGTGCTCTCTTATTATTTAAGAAAAAAAAAATTGATAATGACATTTTAAAAATTGACATTTAAATACGTACTTCTGAATTTATTACACACACACGCATATACGCGTATGCCAATTCATACGTCTTGCATTATTTGTATAATTTCAATTTTGTTGATGTTACACCTGAGTGTATGTACTTTTTTTAATACGTTTTTATACACACACATACACGTAAATGTAAAATACTCTTATAGTTCTTCATGTGTAAGGGTTGATTTACGTACACACCAATATAAACACGTTTGTTTAAATTTCAATGTCGAGAATAATATCAATACTCATTATACATTTTACCGGCAAAGAAAAAGAAAGAATCAGACTACGCGTACTTCGTTGCTGGTAAAAGAATACACATTTCTTTACTTTTTTTTTCTTTTTTCTTATCGCGAATAATCCGTTTTTTTTTGTTTTATTCAATTCACATACAAATGCGTAATCGCTGTACTTATTTATTTTATAAATTATTACGTATCGTGTTCAATCTCGTGTTTCATTTTTTTTTCCTTTTTCTATGTTTGCTCTTTTTTATTCTTTGTTTCAAGTACCTGCACAAGTCTAGTTAATTTTATTTGAACGTAGATTATTATTATTATTATTACTTTTTGTATTTACTAATCGGATTTTATGTTTTATTACAATATTCTCTTATCGTTTAACGATATTATCATAGTTTATTTCAATATCGTGACAATCGTTATAGGATGCGAATTAAATTCTTTTTTTTTATTCTCTCGTACGAGAACAAAACAAAGAGTGGGGAAAATATTATTGAATTATTGTAAATTTTTCTCTGATTGTTTTTTTGTTTTTAAAGTATTTGAAAAATACGAAATAAAATATGATTCAACATGTTCGAGTACAAAAAGTAATTGTACGTAGTAAAACTATAGTAAAACTTATTTTATAATTACAATAATAATTTAACAATAATTATTTAACGATTCGAAAAATAATTTTCTTTTTTTTTTTTTTACTTCGTATAAATGATCATAATAAATATAAGCGTGTAACGTGTGTCACTCAATTAAATGTCAATCGAACGATATAGATCGCAGAAATATTTAGTTTCTTTTTCTGATAAGTTTCAATAATAAATAATATATATATATTCTTTGTTTGTATTATTTATTTTAAATCGTTGTTTATTCTAAATAGAGAAATGAAAAATTTAAATGTAAAAAAATAATTCCAACATTTTTGCGATCAATCGTATTTATAATTACGCAATATTAAAATATACAATGATATTCGTAAGATATAATAATAATAATTGTTAATAATGTTCCGTAAATTAATTTGCAAATAATGAGCGTCGTTTGTATAATAACAGTATACATCTTTCCAATGGATGATATTTTATTTACACGAAATCTTAATGTTTAGATTTAAATTTGGATTTATATTTAGATCAGTTTCATTCGTAGAAACGTTGAAATTTAGTCTACAAAAAAATAATTAAAAACCATATTATTTATTATATCCTCCGATTAATATATTATTCAAAATACTGTATAATAATTGCTCGTTGAAAAAATAGAAATAATTGGTTAAGCGTGAGCGATTAGAATCGCGCGTTTCTCTTTATGAATAAATTATATTACTGACCATTCCATTTTTTTTTTTTTAAATGAAAACAACAACAACATTATTATCGAGCTTGACCGATTTATCTCTAATCGCGCGAGTTTTATTTAAAGTTTTAAATAAAATAAATTTAAAAAAAAAACAAAATAAATATATTCGAATTATTCAGGGGCGTATTTACGTAGAATTTTTTTTGTAAATTATACTAGTTCACGGTGATAACTTAAAAATATATATGAAAATAATGTGTAAATGAGAAAAATTGAAGAAATAATTATAACAAAATTTCTCTTTTGTTTTTTTATCATATAAAAGTTTTCATTGAATAAAATAAATAACAAATAAGAGAAAAAGAATAGTTTTTCGATAAAATGACGAATAAGTTGCCACAGCTAATCAAAACTTGAATTAACTTTAGTTCTCATTGGGTATTAAGGCCCCCAAATGATATTAATCAAGGGACCACGAAATGAACAATACATTTCTGAAGTTATTTACGTGAGGACTCATCTCACAACGCGTAGCAACTAATTGTAAAATAAAATATATTCGCAATTGTATAAATAATAATAATTAAATATAATCGATTGTTATTATTATTATTATCATTATTATTTTTATTATTATGTTTATTACTATTATTATTATTATTATTATTATTATTATTATTATTATTGTTATTATTATTATTATTATCCTAACTCGTTATACGTTCAGTATTCAATTTCTAAACTTAATCATTTATTTTACGAAACAATTTCAGTTCGAAGAATAATTATTATTATTTTAATACTTAAATTACGTTAGCAATAATTAGATCATTGCTAAGCGAAAAGATTAGGCAATAAGAGAGAGAAAGAGAGAGAGAGAGAGAGAGAAAGATCAAAGAATATATTTCAAGCTTCCCAACTTGAAAAATAAAAAAACCACCTACCCAATCACTTAGTTGTTCTTATTAATATTTGTTTTAACAATATGCATATTCAAATGCGTTGTATTTTTTGTTGTTGTTTTTTTTTAGAACGTGACTACGATTATCCATCGTTCGCGTGTTTAGAAATACAGTATTTGTAAATTGACAAATTTTCCGCACTTAGCACCCAGAGCAGAATGAAATTTGACGGAAAAAGATGAAGAGGAAGATGAGAAGAAAACACACAACGTCATTGCCGTCAACCAACGTGTTGTTTCGAGACACCCGGTTGATTATTCGTTTCACGTGCTGCCACGTTCATGCCATGATCTGAAAATTTATTTTTAAAAAATAATCAAAAAATATCCCATTTGAATGTTTTACTACAAATTAAATTCAATCCGTATAATTGCATATAATTCGAATTAAATTTAAAATGATGAGAAGAATGGAGTAGGAGAAGGGAAGGGGTGAGAAAACAAAATAATAAGGGTTAAAAGAAAGAAAGAAAAAAAAGAAAACCAACAACATTTGTACCAGCTTCGGTAGATAATTCTCCAAAACGATCTGGCAAATCGGAGATACTCGTTGTAGCATGTTTTCCATGAATATCCGGTAATGCATTTCTTCTTCCGGTTCTTCCTGTTGACAGGAATGCTTTTGTACCGTTGTCATCATCCTTGCCACCACCCCCTCCTCCTCCTCCTCCTCCTCCTCCTCCTGCTGCTGGTCCCTCCGAGTCCAATCGTCTCGGTGATATCATCTTCAAAACTGTAAATAATTTTTGAATCCCATACGTTTATGATTTTTATTTTCATATAATATTAGGGTGAGTTAAAAGTTCGTACGTAATATTATTGTGCTGTAAATTTATTTTATAAACTGCATCAATGGATTGTTTTTTCAGTTTTGTTTTTCTTTTTTTGATTAAAGTTTACTTGGAAAATATTCATTTAAAATGCATGAACTTTTGGTTCACACTAACAGTAAAATTAGTTTTTATTTTGCTCTATTATAATAATCTAAAAATTCATATATTCAATTGTAAATTGGGTTTTGCGTGTTCTTATATTTGATTCGATTCTATCGATCCTGTTAAATGATAGTTGTGATTAGGTGAATTAAAATTGCACGTTAGTTGGATAAACAATATTATATTGAAATAAAAATAAAAAATAATTGAAATAAAAATAAAAAACAAATAAAATAACAAGACAAAGTTCTAACTAAAGAAGAAGAAGAAGAAGACATGGAAATAAATTATCTTCTATAATAAATCTAAAACTTCGTCGTAGTTCAACAGTTGCAATATTTTCTTATATTAAAAAATATTGAATTATCCAATACAAACATGATCGTTTTAAAAACAAAGAATATTAACATAAATCGTAAATACCATGATGGTAATATTATGAAGTGTTTACATGTTTTTACAATTTTCATGAATTCATCAAATTTTTTATATTCCGTTGTAAATATAATAATCGCGATATTTAAATTGTCAATAGTTATGAACATATTTTATCGTTTGTATAATACAATGATGAATTAAAACAAACAAAAATTGAAGAAAAGGGTATATTTTAAATTTGGACATATTAGTAAACCCTTTAAAGTATTCTTTACTATTGTTTCTGACTGTACTTTCGATCGAAGAATCGATGAAACGTATATATATACATTTATACATATATATATTTACAACATATGAGAATGTTTCGGAAAAGATAACGTTTTAAATTATAACACGTAATATTTCTATAACACATATCGTAAAATTACGATGATTATTATTAAACCGTATAAATAAATCTTTCTTTTTTTTTTTTAAATCAAATTTTCATTCATTCATATACATGCATGTGCTTAGGTTTGTATTATAATTTTTTATACTCACGTTTGTAGAGATACAATCGCGTTTAATATTTTCGATTATCAATCGATTATTTATCAATGAAACATGTGTATTACGTCAAATATATGACTATATATTGACATGACTACTACCAAATTAAATTTTTAATTTGTTTGCATGATATTCGATCGTTTTTTATAACATTTATTTTTTAACAGAATATTTTCATCTGAATTTTTAGATTTATTGAAAGAAACCAATTTAGAAAGAACAGAAATTCCGTAATCGAAAAAATAATGGATGATTATAATAAAATATTATCTCGATATAATACAAGAACATATTATTATTATTATTATTATTATTATTATTATTATTATTATTATTATTATTATTATTAGATACACGCATTATATTTCTTCTATAAAAACAATATATTTTTTTCTAAAATCGTTGTTTAAAAAACAAATCAAATATCGAGAAAATTTACAATGATATTTTTATAAAATTATAAAAGATAAGGTATCAGAAATAATAAAACAAAATAAACATTTGTTAATTTACTAGTCGTATCTAACAACTATATTAGTAATACAAGAACTATCCTACTTTAATTTTATTTAATTGCTATTTAAATGGCTAATGGTAATTACTTTTTTTTTCTTTTAACCTCACATGACAAGTATACTCTCATGATTCTATGTTGTTAATAGAATTAATTCAATTATCTCTTTTGTATTTTTTTTTTTTTTACCTTTTTAAAATGTTTAAATCTATTTTAATATTCTTTACGTTGCACATTTGGAAACATGAAGAAATTACAATTATTAAAAAATAAACTTTTGAAAAATAATGTAATTTAGGATAAAACCCAATTTACAAAATTTCAAATAATTAAATTATTTTCTCTTAATGATCTAATATATTTATTTATTATAAATAAATAATATTAAAATATAAATTTTTGAAAAATAATGTACTTTAGAATAAAACCCAATTTACAAAATTTCAAATAATTAAATTACTTTCTCTTAATGATCTAATATATTTATTTATTATAAATAAATAATATTAAAATATGAATTTTTGAAAAATAATGTAATTTAGGATAAAACCCAATTTACAAAATTTCAAATAATGAAATTATTTTCTCTTAATGATCTAATATATATATTTATTATAAATAAATAATAAATAAAAATACCTTTGACACGAACGAACCGTTGTCTTCGATATCCTTTAAATCTTGAGCAACCGGATATGGCAAGACAATCACCCCCAGTCTTTGAGGAAGTCTCACCATCTTGTCGAAACTTCACCTGTTCAAATTTCATTCAAATTAAATGAACCATTTTAATCGAGAAAATGTAATCTCGTGTAACGAACAATAGAATATTGCGTTTAATTTAAATAACAAAAATAAAATGGAAATAATAAAAGTTCCTATGTCGAATTCTATCAAAAGGATAAACGAATATTTGATTTATATTCGAGCACAAAAAATTAAAAGAAAAAGTACAAAAAAGAACTCAAACGTACAATTCAAAAACATTTTAGAGATAATATAATATTGAATTTTGCATTTTTCGTGATTATAAATGTTCGTAAGTATGATTTAATGAAAAATACGATTATATGATAAAAGGAAGATCAAAACAAAATGTAAACTGTTTCATTGTATAATTTAAAAATATCTTTAACACTAGATATACCACCATTTTCAGCATACCTATTTCTACCACACTAGTCAAAATGAATGGTGCATACAACATATGCTTTTTAAGGCTTCCAATCTTTATTTACCCTTAAAAAATAACAACAATGTTTAACAATAATAATATTAATAGATAAATGGATTTGTAGATATTTTTAAATAACAAAACGCTTAATTATTTGCAGAACTCAAATATTACATGAAGTAGAAATTTTGAATTAAAATGGCTCGACCAATCAAAATGACTGATCTGGTATATCTAGTGTTAAAAAGAAAAATTTATTTATGTTACCAAAGTTGCGAATAAAAAAATTAAAATTATAGGAAAATAAGATGTCGCGAATTTTTTTTTCATTGGTTAGTGTCTTAACATTTGAAATTGGAGGATGATTAAAAAATAAAAAAAAATAAAAAAATTAAAATAGTAAATATAAAAAGTTTGATATAACATATACACATCTAGTCTATTGCAATCGAAAGTTTCTACTTTTCCAATATCTACGTTTTACTACTTGCTTTGGTCAAACAGATCGATATATTTATATATATATATATATACCAGTCAAGTATATTTTTTTTTCTTCTTTTTATACTTCTCGTTCCGGCGACAGGTTATAAAATAGTAGAAGGGACCAAGCGTAAAATAATAAAAAAGAAGAAACAAATTATTTTTCCTGTTACATGAATGAAAAGAAAATAATAATACATAGATATCTTCACCCTTGTCAAGATATGTTCTTTTCTGATGACGCAAATATGCAGAATTATTAACGCAACAAACATATATTCTGTTATTAACCATTTAAACTTATTAAATAATATAAATTACATTGTGATGTACGATAAAAATGACATATTAATTTATATCACATGCATGAATGTTTGTTTTAATTGATAATTATTCTTTAATTATTAATACTTTCTTTTTTTATTTATTTATTTATTTTATTATATTATATTATTGTAGATTAATTTAATCTTCATGATTAGCCAAAATAAAATAAAAATTTTATTATTTTTCTCTTTAATTTTTCTATATAATTAAAATCATTTCAACTTGAAATTTATTCAAAATAGAGATAATCGAAAATTCATCATTTTCTCTACATAACTTGACCCAATTGTAATAATCTGATGATTATTATAATTACTATAGAATAATCCATAAAGTAAAAGGATTTAGAAATGATCCTAAACCATGATTGAATCAAGCAGTATCGACTAATCTCTCGTTTCATAGTTTCTACGAATGCAATTTAAACATACATACATACATATATACATAAATAAATAAATAAATGAAAAAGAAGGGAAAGAAATATAATATAACACGTGTAACGATATATCCAATTAAAAATACATGAGGTAACTTCTTTTTTTCTGCTTTTTGTTTTCATGAAAGTAACAGTTGAAGTCTCGTAACCCAGTTAGCATCGTACGGAAAACAAATGGAAGGTAAATATAACATATGCATTAGTATATGCATATGTGACATCTATTGTAAAGAATTTTACGATTAATACAATTGTTTTAAAAATATACGTATGGTTTAAATATTATAAATATATATATACAAGAGTGTGTGTGTGGGTGTATTTAGTAATATAAATGCATAAACTTAATCTATTCACTGATATAATACAAAATTATCATACATGCATATACATTGATATATTTCAACATAATAACTGGGAAGATACAAATATTTTGACCAACGTAGTGTATGAAAATTACATTGGCGAGCATGAATAAAAAAAAAAATTTTTTTTTAAATTAAATATATAAATATAAAAAGCAGGAAGTCTTGTTTTTGCTTAATATTATTTTTGTACCTACTAAGTAAGTGTATGAATATATATATGAAAAAATTATGATTTAAAAAAAACAAACAAAATTATTTTAAATTTCTATGATTAAATTTGATTATAATAATCCTTTTAAATCTTTGAACTCGTTTTATTTACAACAATTGTTGATCTTCTACTTGCAATTAAATATTATATAATTTATTTTCAAAAATACTTTTCAATATAAATATAACAAATCGAAATATGCAATAACGCAGAATGATTATTTTTTTAATTGCCTTTCGGTGCGTGACGTACAAGTTCAGTGTTAAAATATTCGTATATTTTTGGAAGTTAACAAATAATGATAAAAATATATCAAAATTTAGCTGATATTAATATTTTTTATCTTATTTTTACTCATAGAAAGTGAGGATAAAATTTTGCAAAAAACATACTGAGACACACCGTACATGTGTAAATGCATGTTAAAAAAATATAAGAATAATCATGCATAAACACTTATGTAACAGATAATATTGAATGACGCGATAAGAATAAAAATAAATGTTAATGTACAACAACATTGTTGATTAACGAATATTAATTAAATATATACATATAAAATTTTTTAACGTTGTAAATTTATTTACAAAAAAAAAAATAAGTACGAAAATACGAGAAAAATAAAAAGGGAATTATTAAAAAAAAAAAAAGAAAAAAAAAATTAAAAAAGGGAATTACTTTCGTGGAATGTATTCTTACGCTTCACGCACGTGTACACTTTGACGGTAGGTAGTAGTAGGATACAACGTTTGCTAATGTATTTGTTTCTTTTTCAAAAAATGACACATATAATAATTTGATTCACGTAGTTTTTCTCAAGGACGATCTTCGTTTCTATTTCCTCCTCTGTTACTACTTTTCTTACTAAATCCTTCTTTCCTTTAATCTCGCTAACGTTTCAATACAACTGAAATAAATGGACCCGAAAACAAAGAATAAATAAGATAATAATAATAATAATAATAATAATAATAATAATAATAATAATAATAATGATATGGATTTTAATGTAATTTAAAAAAATGAAATAAAATAAATAATTTGTAATAAAAATAATAATACTAGATTTGCAACAATACAAAGTATTCGAAGAATCTCAAACAAAGGGAGAAAAAAAAGAAAGCAAAGACACAAGAATGAAAAAAAGAAGGATCAAAAAGATAGGTTAGGATAACGTATTTGAAGAGGGAACAATTAAAAAAAAAATAAACGAACAATAAATTTTATATCTGCAATAAAAAACAAAACACAAAGTCTTACTAAATTCAATTATCAAAATAAATCGACGATTAACGATCGATAAAAAGAATTGTACAAAACAAAAAATATAAAAAGATAAATATTTACGATAAAAAAAAATAAAAAACTCAAACAAATATGTCTTCTTCCGGAAAAATATTAAAAAATACAAAATTAAAGAAAAAAATAAACAAAACGATCGATCATGAGAATATATATATTTATTATATATATCACATGTGCCAGGTGTGACTGTAGAGCACAAAAATTTCTTATGGTGTTTAATTTATTCGTAAGATAAAATTCATTAAAAGTAAATATATATATATATATATATATATATATAAAGAGAGCGAGCGTGCGAGAGAATACGAGAGAGTAAAAGAAAGAAAGAAAGTAGAAGAAGAAGAAGAAAAAGAAGAAGAAATTAAGAATCGACGAGTTTTGATAGTCTAATGTAGAAATAATGATATACGCGATATTAGTGATAGAATAGACGTGATGACGCGTTAGTGACGCGTTTTATCTCGTACATATGGAAAGTAAGTACTATACGTCGTCGATTCACGCACGCGATGCAAGCAAGAGGAGCATTGATGATGAAAGAGATAGAAAACATTTGTGTACGTGCGCGCACGCGCGCGCGCGTGCGCCTTTCTTTACCTACTACGTACTACTACTATTGCAACACACATACATATACGTATATAAAGCACGTCTAATTGACTAACAAAAAACAAGGATAAAATATAAGTAAATAGTATAAGCCGCATTTACTATATATAGTACGATAAAATTGAAATTAATGTATTGTAAATGTTGTACACTTGCACGTACTACATACGCACTCACCATTGGATCAGTTCAATGTCTGTATCTCTTGCTCTCTTGCTCTCTTTCTCTCCTTCTTTCCCTCTTTCTCTCTCTCTCACTCACTCATTCTACAATCGTGCGTAAGATTAGCGTTCCCTCTCGTTGCACGCGCCGCCACAAACCACTGTGTTGTGTGTGCGTTTGTGTGTGTTGTGTAAAGGAAAAAGAAGAGGATAGAAAATATTAGAGAACGCAGCGCGTCCAAAGTGCTTGAGCTCGTACGAATCACTAATACTGAAGTAGGATCGAATGTTTCCACTTGGTGTATTGTTCCGTTTTTATTCGAGGTCGAATCGATACCAGAAGCTACCAAAATCTATACGAGTTATTATATTAACTACGATGATTACACTTATGAAAGGAGTACACACTTGTAAATTTCGTGTATTTGTACATTGTCTATCGAAAAATGATCTGGTAAATTAAAGGGTAAAAAGAAAGATAAATATACAAATAAAAAACAGGTTTTAAAAGTAATTCACAATTATTTTTTTTTGCCAGTCCTTAAAGCCAACGCACAATAATAATATTTAACCACGTTCGAAATGTGTAAGAATATTTACTGAACTCATTTGACCAATCACCGATTACTATTCAGAGGGCTAATATTAATCGACCAATGGAAACGTACCAATCGCGAGCGTCAAAATTTACATCGCTTTGAATTCGATTGGTCAAACGCTCTTCTCGGCCTTTCCGAATCTTTCCGATCATTCCCGAATTGTCACTATTATATCACTAACCTATGCATAGCATAGGTTATGCGCTTCTTGTTAAAATGACGTTCGTTGTCGGTAAGACTTTGTACACAACGAATTTGGAACGTATAGTTAATTGAATAACAAATAGATCCTCTTGAGCGATGATCCTTTTATTTAAGCATTCCGCCGCATCGTGCAACGATCGTTTGTTGTGTAATTTAATAATTTATGATATGTTCTTAGGAGATGATGATAGAGGAGGCATCCATTTAAAAACAAATATTTAAAAATCAAAGTAGTGTGTCCACGGAAATAAGAAGACTAGTAACAAAATATATATTGTTGAGACAACATTGATTTTATTACTTCGAGCTACTACATTTATCCGTCAAAATTATTTAACTAATTAATGTTACTTATTATGTCGACGTTTAAAAAAAAAAAGAAAAAAAAAGTAATATAATTTACAAGCAGGTATAGATATGCACATTATCAATTTCAGAAAGTACTTTGAAAGTTTTCTCCTCCTTATGTAGATAAAATATAATTTACATATATACTTAGCAACATTTATTAATCCACCTACGCATATTTAATAATTGAATAGTTACGGCATGAAATTTCTTCTCAACGTGTGCGTGGCCCATTTATTTATTTGTTATGTAAAGCCTTTCTACCTTTAATCAAACTGAACACGTGAAGGTCGCTCAATATTATTTTGCATGCGTTCCTGTACAACTTGCGATTCGCCAATGTATTATTTTCACTTTGTTCTTTGATACAATTTAATAATATATGATTTAATTTGTTTTCATTAATTTGACGCCATTTAATAATTGACACTTTTCTACAAATATTGTCCGACGCCATTTTGTTTTTTTTAAGGATCATATGGTCTACACAAATATACAATAATATATTATACAATTATTTATGTATTCTTTATGTCTAATAAATAAATAAAAATAATTTTAACAATAGTACTAATAATTAGATCTTCATATTCTTTTTTTTTTATTATTATTGTATGTCAATTTAATTTGCACACACGAATTACAATATTATTAAACTTCGGGGATATATTTCGCAAAAAAAAAAGTTTAACTAATGAATCATAATTTGTGTACAAACATTTAAATTAAGGCCACTGTTTTTGTTTGTCACTGTACGTTTGAATTTATATAATAAAAAACAATAAAATGATGTCAAAAATAAAAAATGTCCAAACGTCTCATGTCAGATCTAAATTGTTACGAACATCAACATCTTTCAAAAGTTTTGAAAAGTAAACACCTATATTTAATTACATTAAATTAATAAATAAATATTTATTTAAATGCATCACGATGACGAAAAATGTTTACATTACATTTCAACAACTTTTATTTGTTTTATGATGAATAAACGAAGACTATAACTACCCATAATTATTTCTTTTTATTATAATAGTATTATATATATATATATATATAATAATTTATCATTATTATTACAGTACTTTATATTTAATTTTATGAAACCAAAAAAAAAGGATATTAAAAACAAAAATGTATGTAAAAATGAATAAAAAAGTGTTTGGATAAAATGTAACTAGGTTTTTTTTATTTTTTATTTTTAATGAACGAATAAAAGGGCACACCATAAATGAAGTATTGGAAAGACTTGAAAATATTGCGCAAGCAAAACGTTTTGCAATACGTTTGAAGTATTGAGGAAGAATGTGGTGCGGGGAGAAAACTCAACCGATGGGTTTATCGCAATTCACGAAGAAAGCGGTCAACTTGAAAGTCCTCTCCCACTTTCATTTTAAAAACTCATCTTAAAAACGTCTTTGGACCATTCATATTAATTACAATAATTAAACGAATTATTATATAAGCATTCTTATACTTTTTTTTTTACATATAGCGAGACACAGGAATATTCGTTTATATATAATTGATGAGAAAATTAATCTTACAAGATATGTAAAAATAATCGTTTAAAAAGCATTATAAAATGCAAAGGGGTATGCCAATCACACAAGTATTATTCTTACAAAAATATTTCATTCATTTTCTTTATATCTTACGTAGATGTAAATACTCTTTGTGAGATTAATTTTTGATCATTCAAATAAAATGATATTTCTATAATAATAAAATATTCTTTTAAAATCAAACTGATATCAATTTAAAAGTATAATAAACCTAAAATAGATTGTTGTATATAAGAATTTTAAAATTTTATATATTACAAATAAATTAATTATTTAAAATACATAATAAGATCTGATACGAATACTCTTTTGTAACTTATTGTACATTTATTAATAACAAATATAATTGCAATATAAAAATTTGTATAAAATTATATCTCGCGTAATCATTAAAATAACATTTGCGAAAACACATGTACCATTGTGTTTTCGTATGTACATGTACATGACTATATTCCCTTCTCTCTATATTTTGTTAATCGTCCGTTCAAAATTAATATGTATGGAACAGCTTATATGATAAAAAATTGTTTAAATTTCGCAGATGCTATTAATATTAATCAGCACGATCGAAACCGGACAGAAATATTTTTATAACCACCATGAGAATTTACTCTGTAACCAATTTCATTTTGTCCATTTCGTTCATCTTTTGTTTTACATTCTCAATTTTTTTTTTTTTTTAATATATATGCATGATATATTATTGTAATATACATGTATATATTTTTATAATATATGTATATATATTATATGTATCTAAATTTGAGATGTTGGACAAACATTTTATACAGGTTTATTACGTAATTATTGAGAATTATTTCTTAATACTATCGTGACCCACTTTATTTCTTTTTTCAGCATGTCAGAATTAAATTCAAAAAACATCACCTTTTCGAAACGATTACCAAGAAACCAAGGATTTTCTTAGCTAGCAACTAACGTATATATATACGTATATATATTACGTATATACGTATATACGTAATATATACGTATTATATATATATATATAATCAAGATAAAAAAGAGTATTTAAATAACATAATTTTTAAATTTAAATCAAATTCAAAGAAAAAGTAATAGTAGTAGTAGTAGTTTGAAAAAATTCCTTTGGTTTATTCTTTGATTTATCTATTTTTTTTTATTTTAAATAGATACATTTGAAATAAACGTACGACAAATTTCGCATAAATTAATGTGGGTCGTAAAAAATTATCAGCAGAGCGTGTATTCTTAAATTCCAGTTTGAAAAAAAGATTTCAATATTGGTTCCTTGGTGTTGTTAATCAGGTTTGTTCAAAAAGAGTGGGAGATTGAAAAAGAAGCATCTACCCCTCTTTTCTCATGATTTCATAATAATCGATGTTGAGAACAGAGAGTTTCATAATGGATACAACGATCATTCTTCGTATACGTCTTCGAACGGATCGTTGTTCAGTTTTACTTCTCATTCGCATCGGTTTATTTCTTTTTTATTTGTCTTTTTTTCTTTTTCTTCTTCTTCCCTTTCATATATCTCGGATATATTGCAAAATATTTTTAATTTATTGTTTATTTTACGATCAATATTAATTAACTATGATTTATTCTCGATGAGGAGAATTTTTTGTCGTCAATTTTATCGCGTATCGGAAATACGTATTAACGAAAAATCAAATAATTCAATTATTATCGAACAACAAGGATATACAAGGATTTGTATAAAATAATATTTGTATATTTGCAAGTAAAAGAAATTATTTTTCTTTTATCACTGAAAATTATTCGAAAATGAATAACAGGACGATAAATAGTCGTCCTTTGCAACATTTCATATTTTTTATTTCATTCATAATTTGTTTATCAAATGCTGTTACACATGTTGATGTTATTTCTACGAGTGCTTATACTGTTCTAAAAGAGGACGAAATACTTCGTATATTTTCAACAAACAAGACAGATTCTTTCAATAATTTTACAATTATCGATTTAATCGGTAATTTTGAAAACAACACAGTGGAAAAAGACAAAATTGTTTGGAAATTAAAAGACACCGATATTATTTCTACCAATCGTTATTACGGTGAGTTAAATAAATGTTATTTTATTTATGTATATAATTTAAGAAAAGTAACTAAAAATAAAAAAAGCAAATATTTAGTTATACGATTAGGTATTTTTAACTTGTATATGAACCGTTCACACAGTATACACATCGATTAACTCCACTTTTTGAAAAATCTTCAATTTATGTGACAAAGCACTTGGTATAGTTATAACTTTTTATATTTATAATAACTTTTCTGAATAATAAAGATTAATACCATTAAACGGCAAAAATTTTTTGGCTATTGAATAATAAGTAATACAACAATATACATTATTTCATTATCGCATTTCTCAACTTTTTATTTTATAGAGTTAATGTGTGCACTGAACGGCTCATATATCGATAATATTTTTTTATGTTATTTGTTAAAAGTTAACACGGAATAAGTGGATGAATTTATAAGTCTAATATATTTACAGATAAATTTTATTTAAAACAAAACAAGATTCAAAAAAAAAATAAAAGTTCTTTTTTGTTCTTATTTCGTATTTCGAAACATTTCAACCTCAACTCTTTATGATTTAACGTTCATTTAAAATATTGTATAAGGTCTTTATTGGTTTACCACAATTTATCATCAAGAGTATCGTAAATAAATAAATAAATGTCCATTAAACGATACGTGTAAAAATTCTATTAAAAAGAAACTGCAAAGAAAAGAATTCAACATTAGCTTGGAATTTATGAAGTGTCACTAAAAAAAAAATAAAAATAAAAAAAATACGTTTAGTTTTATCTAATGTGTGATGAGTATTTTATAAATACCTAAGATCCTTTCTTACTCTTAGGTTATTCAATCTTGGTAGGCATCAAATTCCTTTCACGACAAATGGACGATGATAATATTTTACCTTGAATAAGACATTGAAAAGATTATGGGAACTAAGATAATTGACCTTAGAAGGAAAAGATTCATTTGCATAATGAAAGGTTACCGATTATATGAGATAATGAAGTATTTAAAAAAAAAAAAATAACATGATGGATAATTGTTTTAATATTAATGATAAAAGTGACTGAAAAGGATGCTGTTAAATTAATTGATAAAGAAAAATAAGAACAAAACAAAAAAGAATACCTTGTAATAAAATCAAACAATTGTTAAAGATCATTTGCAATGAATTTTCTTATTCGTTGATTTTTAAAACTTTGATTAATTAACAATTGTCATTATTTAATGTTAATACATTTTTACTACTAGTATAGTAAAAACAATGAAGGAAAGTTTAAAAAAAACAAATAGAATTAAACAATTCTTATTTATATAGAATAATATGTATATGAATATAAACATTAGGATTATTTAAATGGTAACGACTAATTTAGAAACTATCACGACATTGTCCATTGTATGGAAAAATTAAATAATAGAATAGTTTGTTAATTATAATTAACCAATCGTATTAACGAGCACAATCGCGAACACCACTATGATCTTCGTTGCGTTATATCCTGCGATCTAATTTTGTTTTTTTTTTCTTTTTATTTATAATAACTTAGCTCATTGTATTTTGTCACGATTGCTAAGAACAAAACACCGTAGAAATATTTCTAACACTGAACTAACTAACTGTACGTCGAGTTATCCGTCGAGAATGGTGAAATACTAAAATGGCAAAACGTTCGTTTTCAATTTATTAGCATTTTCTATTAGTACTATGCATATAGAATCTTAGCAATTCAAGTCATGGAAAAATAGATAAACATAGATAAAAATCCTTGACTTAAAACCCGTCATATATATATATATATATATATATATATATATATATATATATATATATATATTTTTTTAAATAAACAACGAGAAACGTGTTAATCGTTGTTTTTTGTTAACTTTGATATTGCTTTTCTTCTTATATAAATGATTAAAAAAATGTGCGAATTTTTATTTCTTTTTTACAATATCTTAACGTGCGGGTGTGGATTTAATCTTTAAACAAAAAAATTACTTAAATATTAATAAATTAAATAATAAATAAATTATATTAATTAATAATTAATATTTTTTTAATGATTTATATATTAATACAATTATATTATATACAATATATATTATACAAATATTATTTTTATATATATAATATTCAATTATATTAATTTATTAATAAAAAAATATTAATAAAAAAATATTAATAAAAAAAAAACAACATTTAATATAATAATAAATGTTGTTTTTTAATATAATAAAATTTAATATAATAAATTAAAACTTAAATATTAATAAATTAAAACAACATTTTATCCTGTATACCTTGCAACAAGAAAAATCTTTAAACTAATCTTTTTGAATCAATAATTATCAAGAAAGTCTACTTGATGATGCAGTCAATAATTGCAATTATTAAAAACGCTATTAAATCTTCATTCTATGATAAAAATCTTTTTAAAAAAAAAATCTCTTTTTTTCTTTCTTTTATATTGCTCTATATAAAATGGTTACGTTTTATACTAATCATTAAATAATTGGAAAGTAATATTATATCAAGGATACATTTGTAACAATAATCAAAACTGGGACAATTGATAAGATCAATCATTGATACGAGTCCTTCGTAAGAAAAACAAAAAAGAAAAGAAAGGAAACATAAAATGGTATTACATTGATGTTAGAAAGGTGGGATCAAGTTTAATAAATCATGCAACTGTATTACGTTAATATGCATGATTTGATAATATAATAATAATAATAATAATAATAATAATAATAATAATAATAATAATAATAATAATAATGTTTATATATAAAATAATAATACGATAAATGTAACATGACCTTGTATTATTATATTCAGAATTAATCTGAAGAAAGAATGGAAGATAACGAAAATCCTTGTTGCCTGAAAGTTAATTTATGATTTACAAATGTGTTTCTTTTAATGATAAAAACAAAATCACTATTTTATTTATTATATTTCGTTAGTAAAATATTTGTAATAATAACTATAAAACCTATAATATGCACTCAAAAGATGATTGTATAACTTTAAAAAAAAAATGAGAAACATCGTTTGAATTATATTTTTAAAAGAATAATAAAAATAAAAAAATAAACCAAAATTATTATTTTATTGTTAAATTTGATAGATTAATCATTTCAATTTTAATATCATTTTTACAATTTGATCAACAGGTTTCAACCAGTGTAACGTGTTTCATCATTCGCAATTAAAAAAAAGAATTTATTAAATCAAATAAAAACAAATATTGTATATAAATGTATTTATCGTTTTTTTTCCAGATACTTTTAAAGAAAAAATAGATTTGGAAGCAAATAGATTGTTTAAATTGGTACCTGCGTACGATCCTGGTGCAGGTAGCGTCAGTGTTCAATGTAAAAGGGATGCTGAAATTTTTCAACGAGAACTCACCAAATTTACATTATGGGCTTTGACGAGTAAGTTTTTAATACACATTTCGTTTTGATTAATTTGAAATAAAATTATTTATGTTAATGGTGATAAGTGACATTTTAATTGGAACATAGTACAATATTTTTGTTATTAACGATTCGTTTGAAAAAAAAAAAAAAACAATGTAATTTTTAGGATACATTCTAATATATCTCAAATAATGTTGAATTTCAAATTAGTTTCACAATCTAGAACAATCATTCGATTATATAAAAGTCTTTTGTTAAGTCTAACATCAAGATGTGTATTCCCTCTTTTGTATGCACTACTGTGCTTGTCTTGGCAATACGAAAACAGCGTTGCCTTGGTTAATTTGACTTCACAGATTTCACTTCTTGTCACCAATTCGTTCGCAAACCTTTCGTTATTCTTTTTTTGCAACGATTACAAAAGTTTTACTTTATATTGCAAATATTCAACTTTTTTCCATTGAAAACAAAAGAAAAAGTTTCCGTACTATTTACAAATTATTGAAAATAAAAATGTATCGTATAAATATATATTAAATATTAGGATGAATCAAATTGTACAAAAACAAAAACAAAAAAACAATCCATAATGCAATTTCAAAGTAAAATTTTAACACAGTAAACACATGAACTTTTGATTCATCCTAATATTAATCCTCACGAATATTTCCAAACAATTAATAATACTCGACAATTGATTAATCAATGCTAAAAATATCTTTATCATATAATTTAATTGATTGAAAAGAAAAAAAAACCGAAAAAAAACGAATAATTAATCATTTCAGTGTACGATGCAACGGCCAAGATACCTTCTGGTCTTTTAAATGGTAACGTAAATCAATTGGGTGATTTCGATGAGTGTGTAAATACTGTTGGAACTAATGGTATTCGGGGACAATATTGTTTGGCTTATTTGCAATTAAACGTTGATGAATCACGAACCGATTTGAAACACTTACATCGTCTTCTTCATTCGCATTATCTTATTAAAAGCAACGTAACAGACGTACGTACGTACTGATATTAATGCATGATTATATTAAAAAAAAAAAAAATTAATCCAATATCCTTATAGTTATAAAAAAAAAATACGAATCATTATTTTTTAATTAATAAATATAATTAAATTTGTATATTTTGTTTTTACACAGCCAGGACATAGAGTACCACGTTTCAGTACGGTGAATTGGGCTGTTTGTACTCCAGCATCTTGTTCATCTCGTGACGTTGAAATATCTCTTCATGACACTTTATCCAAATACACGTCTCAAAGTGGATTACAAATTTCAGTTCGCGTTGAGCGTGAAATGTGTCAGGTGAAAAATAATAGACCACTTCCGAGGGAAACCATTTTCGTTGGGTAAATCGATAATTAATGATTTTTTTTTACTGTATTATTTCATTCAATCAGATTATATATATTCATTTTAAATATAATAATATTTATCAATGTTTTCATTTGTTACAGTATTTTGTTCGTTACTGTATTAACATTAACTATCGTTGCTGCTTATTACGATCATTATAAAATATCTACAAACGAAATTCTATTATCATTTTCAATTAAACGTAATTTTAATAAACTCATCTCGTTGGAAAGAACTGATGGGGATATAGCAAGTTTACATGGTGTACGAGCTTTCAATGCTTATATGTTATTATTTTCACACAAAAGTATGGCATTGTTTTTTAATCCATATCCCAACAGAACTGAAATGAGTGAGGTAAACTTTTCAACAAAATCTATATTAATATATGAACATATATGAAATATACGAATAGGTGTATGCATATATAAATTTATGATTAATTGTGTTAATTATGTGACTCAGTATTTAGGTGAACCATGGACAGTTATAGGAAGAGCAGCAAGTCTTTACACCGATCCATTTATTATGCTTTCTGGTCTTCTTACAAGTTATTCCTTCATTGGAAGAATTAAAAAAACTGGCTATTTGGATATTAAAAACGAATATTTAGGTCGACTTTTAAGGTAATTGTTTTGTTTTTGTTTTGAAACATTTACTTTTAATCATTAATGATAACTGATTGAACTTTTTTTTAGACTGGTACCAACTTTAGGTGCATTGATATTATTTTGCACTTACATCATGCCATATTTGGGTTCTGGACCTCAATGGAATTTGGTGGTAACACATCACGCCAATATTTGCAAAAAAAATTGGTGGAGAAACTTTTTATTCATTCATAATTATTTTGGATTTGAAAATATGGTTAGCATCTAAGAAACAATTTATTTCGATTGAAAAATTATCTATGAAGTTTCTCTTTTTCAAACGAAAAATAATTAATATTAAACATGAGAATAAATTGTTAATTTGTTCAATATTATTATTTTTTTGTAGTGTTTAACGCACACGCATCACGTAGGAATAGACACACAATTGTTTGCACTATCTCCTTTCTTGGTATTGTTATTATACAAGAAACCAAAAATTGGTAGTATGGTTCTACTTGCTATAGCTACATTCTCAACAATTTTAAGATATTACGTAACATATTCTAACCATCTTAGCAATTATGTCTATTTCGGGATATCGTGAGTATACTTTCTTGCATTATGATATTAATTAATACGATAAATTGAATACATTATTGTTATATATATTTTTGCAGAATAAAACAACTATTTGATACGGCAAATATGTCGTACATTTTACCAAGTCATAGATTGACAGTATACATTATGGGAATATCTGTTGGATATTTACTCCGATTATTACCTAAACAATTTAAAATGAATAAAGTAAGATTTATTGCAATGTCATATCTGAAATAACTGCATTATCATTGATTTAATGTTGTTAATTATTTGAATCAATTTAGACTATCTCTTACACCGGTTGGATTTTGTGTACAACAATGTTTTTTGCTTCGGTTTTTGCTCCAGCAAAAATGGGAAATATAGATTACATTTATAATCCAATTCACGCAGCTATGTATAATGCATTTGCTCCTATCGGATGGTGCATATTTTTCGCTTGGGTAATATTTATGCATCAAACAGGAAATACTGATGGCAAGTAATACGAAAATATTATTTATCTTTGTCAAGAAAATATTTAAAAAATGATTTCTTTTTTTTTTATATATTATTGTATTTATTATTATTTTATTCAGGATGGTTAAGCAGAACTTTAGCTTGGAAAGGATTCGTTATTACCACCAGGCTCAGTTATGCTATTTATTTGACACAATTTCCAGTTTATTTTTATAACGTCGGACGAACTCGTAGCATTGAGTATTTTGATTTCATAAAACTAGTGGTACGTATTTAACGCATAAATGTTTTAAAATGTTCATGCTTTAATGATATCAAAAACAAAATTGATAATTTAATTTTATCCGAATATAATTCATACTCTTTTGTTATAGTTTAACTTGACGGAAATTGTCTATATCCTAGTTGTATCCATAATTCTAACTTTGCTCTTTGACACGCCCTTTCAAAATATTAAAAATCATTTATTGAAAAAGCAAAGAATACGAGAGCAAATATTAGTTAAATCATCGAAATTGGAATAACACGGGTATACCAAATATATTTTATTCCTTTTTACCAAAATTAGATTTAAGTATTGTAAATAATCTCGACAAAATATATATATACACGTTTATATATACTTGGTCATAGTAGTAATTAATTATAAATCACATTACTTGCAATTGCATTGTATATAATGATATACAATGTATATGACTGTCAAGAAAATATTAGTCATATTTGTTATACAAGTATACAATGGTATATATATATATATATATATATATATATACATATTGTAAATAATGTTTATTGTATATTATTCTTTTTCATTTACTATATTTTTAATTATCTTGTTATTATCTTTTTTTTGTAATTAATAAATATTTTTTCTACCGTGTCATATTAGATTTTAATTAGAAAATATTACAAATGTAAATATATATTTCAAATCCTAAAAATTCCTAACACACATTATTCATTTTAACTATAAGCCATTAATATTATCGAATAGTATATTTTATTTCAAATAAATGCCATTTTCGCGTGCAACTTCGCTCGTTAATTGTATATTTTTTATTGAAGTATAATTTTTTATTTATTCTTTTATTTTGTTCTAGTACTTATAATAAAATATTACAATATTTCATAAAACTATATTGATCAGCAAATATACTACACTTATATAGACAAATTATTTTCTTAAAGATAAAAATCTTGAATATTATACACATTATATTATAAGTAATTAGAGAATATTACAAAATGATACTTATTAGAAAAGTCGTAATATTGACATAATTCATGATAGAGGTTTTTAACTGAAAATAAAATAGAGAAAAAAAGAAAAATGAAAAGTTTCAATAAGATAAATAAAAAAGATAATGTTAATGATTAATAAAAGAAAAAGAAAAATGATATGAAAATTGAAAATACAAAAATCTTTTCAAACCGCAAAAAGAGTCATTTCAATGATTATAACATCCTTTAAATCTTATTACTCATAATTATATATTATATTAATATTGATAATTATATTTCATCATAATTAATGGTCATTATTTTATCATATTATTTAACATCATATTATGGTCTACCAGTAAATGCTTAGAGTGGTACATAATGTTATTATTTAATTATAGATAAGCATAAATGGTGTTACATCAAAGAAACGCACTTATTGTTAGTATTGAAATAATCATGCGCGTAAATATATTTAGAAATGTTTTAAACTATCTAACAATGAAAATATTGTGAATAATATTTTTTATTTAATTTTATACTTTTATGTTATGTATATCTATATATGTAAATATTTGTATATATTATTTTTTATTATATCACTTAAGAACGTTGTTAATTAGATTAACAAGCAATATATTAATATATTAATCTTTGCATGAGCAAAGATGAAAAGAACAAGCTAGATTATTAAAATGTATCATGTTATCATTGATGCATTAAATATCAAGCTTAAAATGAATATAAAGATACCTGTTTAATTAGTTGTTAACTTTCCTTGGTAAAGCCTCTAAATTTATGAAAATTCTCGATTCGGGAAGAGTATTGGTGCAACCAATGACCAAACGTAAAGGGTCATGCATAACCATGAAGAAATTATTTTCACCCACATTGATGCAACATTGGAATTTAAAGTATCCAAATTTGAATTAGGTCTGTGAATAAAAGAAATTTATATATTTTTTTTTATTATTATTTAATCATTATCAACAAGAAAGATAATAAATTTATATGAAATATAGAAAATACTTTGAAATACTTACTCATACCAATTAGTAAGAGTCATCATCACATACAAAGTTGCAAGTGCGAACATTAAATGGAAGAAGCTCCAGTTGTATGCCACAGTTTCTTCTTCGTTGTCCCAAACTTTAGCTTCACCACTTTCTGCATCCCCATTGCGACCTTCTACTGCAGTATAATCTAATTATGTTCCAGAAAATAAACAATCGCACAAATGCATGGCATTATAAATTGTGCAATTGTTAAAAATATCTCTTAAATATATTAATTTAATATTTCCACAATATGATAATGAATGATTATAAATAATTATCATTTATATATATTTACATATATAAATTCATTTTTATCTATCTCGTAAAATAAAATACAAATAATTAAAATTTAGAAAGCAAATAAAGAAAAAAGACAATTCAAGCAGGCACACGCTGATTATAAAGCAAGATTATTTTGTATTTTTTTTTTTTCTTCCTTTCTACTACTTTAATTCTACTTTAAGTTACAATTTAATACATAATATTTTACTCAAGCAAAGTGAAATCTATTGCAAAGATGACAAATATTTTGTGGAAATGTTAAAATTCTGAAATGCAGATACTTCAATGATAAAAATAAAGAAGACTAAGAGTAGATGCGTTAATTAAAAATTGCATTAAGGTATGTGATAGAGCTATGTGTGCCTACCTTCATTGTCGATAAGATACTGGTCTCCTGCATTCCTGACTGTGTAAAAGAGTTAATACTTATTAAGGCAGTTTTATTTACAATAATAGATATATGTATTAAATGAACTGAATGATCTTAAGATAATTGATAACCCGTCAAATTTGGGATGTTTAAATGATAATTAAAAATTGTTAGAGAGAAATGATTATTTCCATGCAACATTTATAATATCTATCATATAAAATTTGCCAAAAATATGTGAATTAACTCAACTAATATAAAACTATTGATATATCATTTTATTCTTACCAGCTCCATTATCTTTAACTAAAACATTTTCAGACATGGTGATCTTGGATGATTTTGATGCCGTACGTAGAGAACTATACAAAACACAGCTGAACCATATTATGAGACCAATTATGCTTTCCTTATCAAAAGCAACACGATTTTGAGCATGTTTGTCATTAGAGATTATTCCAAAGAATCCAGGATTGCAAGTACGATCTGTGAACATAATTATAAAAGATTAATAAAATCAAAATATCATAAATACTTATAATTAATTTAATTTGTATATTTGATACCTGGGCTGTTGGAAATTCCGCTCCATGTTAGATAAACGACGTACAATGAAACTATAGATGGTTGAAGTAAACCAGAATGTGGCTGATATTTTTGTACACTTGGAAGAATAGAAATTATGCTGATAATTACGCATAAAATAAGATTAAATGAAATAAAGAATTTGTTAAGCGCACAGTCGTAGGGCTGAAAATATCAAATAAATAATTAATTATATAAAATATATACATAAACAATTTTATAAAAAAAAAACTTACATGAGTGAAATATACATAAAGTAATACAACACCAGTAATAGCAACAGCATAATTAAACAAAGTAGCTCCCATAAGTGCTGCATACCTATAATTAATTTTAAAAGTATTATTATTATTATTATAAATTCTACAAATATATAAATTCTAAGAATTGTAAAAAGTTACATACCAACTTTTTGATTCTGTATCTTCGTAATTACCAACCCAGGCATCTGCCCAAGAATGTGCAAAGTCCACAATTAAGATCAACTGTATAATAATGAAAAAGAAACCACCTATCATTCCAAAATACATCCAGGTTGAACCAAATGATTTTTCAGGTATGAAGAAAGCACCGATTATACCACCAATTATTAGAAGATATTTTATCGCCCAAAATCTGTAACATATGTTAAATAATATAAGTAAACATTCCAAAACAATAATAATTCTTTATTTTATCCTTTTTTTTTTAATTCAGTATAAACTTACCCATTTTGTATGGGTGCTCGTGGATCTTTGGAGCTTCTAACTCTGATCATCATGACGGACATCATGAAAAAGTATAATGCAAGAATAAAACATATTCTATATACAGCTAAATAACCAACCGCTGATTCGCAGTCTACAGTAAATGAAGACGGGACATAATTTGTGCTATTAGCACAAAATGGAACCTATTAAAAGAAAAATAATATTATTTTCTTAAATATTGAAAAAATAAGAATAGAAATAAATATAAGGCTTACTACCTTTTTAAGAGCATCTTGTAAACCAGGCGCCATAGTAATGCACGCAGCTATAGTACCAAGCATTAATAACAATGCATACATAATGCGAGTGCTAGTGCTGTTACGACAAGTTGGGCATTGTGAACAACAGAAACTACACGCTGTACTGCCACACAGGCAGGCAAGCTGTAACAAATAATATAAATATTATTGATATAATAACATTAACAGTAGAAAATTGACTTATGTCTACAAAGAAGTGAGTTGAAAAATTTTGAATATATTCTTTTCTGATCATCCATTGTATGTCAAAAAATGAAAGTGTGTTAGAGCAAAACTAAAAAAATTCTTTCTACAATAGACATAAAACTTTTCAAACCATTCAGATATAATTTTGTCTCATTTATTGATCATGTCAAACATAATTAAATTATGCTAAATCATATATATATATTAATTAAATATATGACAAAGAAATAACATAACCATAAAAATTTCTTCGCATATTTATATCAAATATAACCTAACACAATAATGACATTTCATTGTGAAATTTAATATTGCAAAGAGTAAAAATAACATATATATACGCATTAAATCAAAATCAAAATGTCAATTTTTGCATCCCTGATATAATTGAATAAGAACAAAAGAAAGAAATAATTTACCTGCGCTGTGGAACAAACGAGACCCATGTTTAAACTTGGTTAATGTATTTTATGCACAATAAACAAACAATTAACACAGTAAAAGACACTTTTCAATCGGTACAAAATTGATCATCTATGTGTTATGAAAAAAGATGTCACGAAGTAGGAAGAGTTCGTTCATAACAATGGCGTCTTGACAAATGTATATTGGGCAAGTTCAAGCAATAAGCTGACTGCTGACGTCATGATTCCAGTTATGAATCTGCAGTAGACTTCAGGGAAATCTTTGAAATATCTAATTTAACTCTCAACGTCCTTGAAAAAGCAGATGTATGACTAATAACTAAAAATTAATTTATCCATTGGCATCATAGCTTGATTATTACCGTTTGAAAGAACAAACTACTGAACGTTCTATTATAAGTGTAAGTCATTCACATTATATTCTTGCACACTTGACACAAATTGCATCCTACATCAATTTGCTATAAACAAATCATCGTGCAATTTATCTTATAACTCGTTTCATCTCATAACTCTTATAACTTGCAATTATTTATTTTCCACGTTTTCAATATGTTGCTCTAACAAAATATTTTATTTTTCCTTAATAATTTTTACGTGCATAATATTTTTTCTTTAGGTTATTTTATTGATTTATTTGGGATTTATTCTGTATATTATTTTTTTTTAATTTTTTTTTTTATAAAATAAATTATATATAGATATATGAGTAAAATAACATAAAATAACTAACATTACATGCATGTAAAAGTCATAAAGAAAAAGACACAAATCTTTAGGACAAACTAAAAATTTATTTGAGGATTTGTATTATTATATTTTTTATTATAATTATTTTTTATAATTAAATTAACAGGTTAACTGTGCCACGTAAGTTTGACATGTTTTGCCATAGAGGCCATAATTCTGGTGAATGACAGACGTGGCAGTCAACGTGTTAATAATATTTCTTAATATATAGATAATGTTTTTTATTTTTTAGGAAAATTAAAATAGACATCGCGCGAGTGACATTTAAATTATATGAACAATATTGTTCATAATTAAAAATCATAATTATGGAGCCTAATCCATGCGACAATAAAGTATCTAAACCAAATATTTGGCCACATATGACCATGTCTTCGTTATTTAAATCATTCTTTGTAAACTTAACAACTACCGGTATTATATGGAGTTGGGGATACATGAATTTTAGCTTAGCATGGCTAATCGCTCCTATTATACTTTTGGTATGGAAATCAGAAAGACAGAAGGATCAACAATTAAGAGCCATCACTGCGCAAGCCAGTGTAATGGCTAATGAAAAAGAATTGATCGGTAAAAGAATGGACGAATTACCATCTTGGGTTTATTTTCCTGATTTTGATAGAGCTGAATGGTTGAATAGGGTAGAGTAAATCTCTCTTATATTTAACCAATAATTTATCTGTTTTAATTTTATCCTTTGTTTATGTTTACTATTTTTAGATATTGTACAAAGTTTGGCCAAGCATTAATCAGTACGCTCGTGAACTTTGCAAACAAACGATAGAACCATCTATCGTTCAAAAGCTAGCCGATTATAAGATCAAAGGATTTCAATTTGAACGATTAGTTTTGGGCAGAATTGTAAGTTACATTTAATAAACATAATATATATTCATCGACATGATTTACTATTCACAAATAATATTTTATTTCAGCCTCTCAAAATTTATGGAATAAAAGTTTACGATAAAAATACTTCCAGAAATGAAATCATCTTAGATGCCGATGTGATGTTCGTATTTAATTTAGATAAATACATGATAATGAAATGAATATGAAAATAAACATTATATTTTTAGGTATGCTGGAGATTGTGATATTACATTTTCTGTTGGAAACATACAAGGTGGTATCAAAGATTTCCAGGTAAATATTCTAAAAGTTGTACACATCTTTAATGTATTTAAAAAATGTTTATAAATCTATTAATTATTATTATATTAGCTTCGAGGTCTAATGCGCATTGTTATGAAACCAATAATATCGGTGATACCAATAATTGGAGGAATACAGGCCTTCTTTTTAAACGTACCAGCAATCAACTTTAATTTAGTGGGTGTAGCCGATGTACTTGATCTTCCTGGTTTTAGGTAAAGTACTTGGAATTATTACAAATAAATAATAAAATACATTGGATTAACATGAAATATTATGTTTAATAGTGAAACCTTAAGAAAAACTATTATAGAACAAATAGCTGCAATTGTAGTATTGCCTAATAAAATTGTTATTCCTTTGAGCGAACAAATACCAGTAGAAACATTGAAAATACCTGAACCTGAGGTAATCGTAATTAATTATTTAATTGTCTAATATATATACATTTATTTATATCATTTATTAAAATTATCTTCTTTAATCATTTCCATAGGGTATTTTAAGAATTCATGTTATTGAAGCAAAGCACCTTATGAAAAAAGATATTGGTATGTTAGGTAAAGGGAAATCTGATCCATATGCTATTGTAAATGTTGGTGCTCAACAATTTAGGACGAAAACTATTGACAATACTGTCAATCCAAAATGGGACTTTTGGTGTGAGGTATGATTAATTTATTCCAATTAACGTATCGTATAAACTTTTATAAACACATATATAATGCATGAGCTTCACTGCAATCGATTACATAAGATATTCTTTCGCATCTCCTTCAAAATCTATTGAATGGTAAGAAATATTCTTTATCTATCAAAGAAACAATTACATTGATTTAAACATTTTTTATTTATTGATTATTCGATAAGTATTATGTTTAAATATCATAAACAAATTTTCTTTACTTTATTTTAGTTTCATCAGGAGAATACGACTAATCTAACACTTCATATCTCTCTAACATCTACTAATATTTGCTTAAACATAAAAGGATCCCTTTATCATTATTTTTATGTTGAAAATTTCATTTGGTGCTAAGGATTAAATTAGCTTCTATTTAAAAGTCTAGATCGGGTACATTTTAGTACATGTTATTTTAATTTAATATCACTATTCAGTATGTATGTGTGTATGTGATGTGTGACACATTATGTGGACCAGTGTGCCATCTCATCGGCCATCGCTCAACAACTGACAGTACTTGTGTGGGACTATGATGATACTAAAGGCGATGAAAGCCTTGGAAGGTATGATAAAATAATATATTACATTATTTTCTTATTTTTCAAATTAAGATCAAAGAGTATCCTAATTTTCGTAATTTATTATTGTGATTTTTTTTTTTAATAATAAAAGAAGTTCAAATCTTAACAAATGTATATATACAAAGTGTCTGAGTTGTGTTTAACTGGAAAAACTTCAGACACTCACTGTATACATATGCACATTTATATAATGTCATTTGTAAACTTATATATATATATATATATATTAATATTTATTGATCTTATCATTCACATATTTTTCTATTACAAGCTGCTTTATTATTATCATCATCTATAATACTGTAAAATATTTGCATGTTTGTGGTAAAAGTGAAATTTTAGGTAATTATTGTATATTTGTGTGGAAGCATGGTTTTACCAATGCATGAATATATCATTTTTATTTAATTTCAATTATTGATGATGCTTTCTACTACAAATATTTTTGGATAATTAATACACATGAAAATAAAAATCAATTTATAAGGAATTTAAAAAAAAAAAATATCTATATTCTATTAAAAAAAAAAAAAGTTATATGTAATAATTTATAATTAATGGTTCGAGTAAATTGAAACAAAGTTGTATATTGCATATTATTTAAAATCTATCAAAGTAGTATTTTCAATTATATTCGTATTTCACTTCATAATATTGACACACAGGCTGTGATCAGTTCATGCATTAAACAAGAAGCTGTGGTGTCCCTTTGGGATTGGGATCCAAGTTTTCCTTCTATGCAATTTGATGACTTTCTTGGCAGGTAGTAATGTCTTATTAGATGATAACACCATTTAATGAGAACCAATTACAAAATTTAAAAACAAAAATGCCTATACTAATTTTACTTACAATGGTGTGCGTGCTTTTGTACGACGAATATGTTTTTTTTCTGTTTTTTACTAATAATTTTTAAAATTAAATGTCTACATTTTGTATACGTAATTTTGTAGCTTTGTATTCGTGAAATACGAACAAAACAAAATAATTATTCATATTTCACGAGATGTTTGAATAATTTAATTTTTTTTTATTATTTTATATAATTTTTATTAGATTACTTTAATATGTTTTCTTAAACGATACGATGTATCCTTTTTCTTTCGTTTTTCTTTTTGTTTAATATTAATTTCAAGTTAAAAAAAGCAGAGTGATTAGGTGACTTAAAATAAGAAGATCTAAAACAATAATGATTTTATGTAATGCCAGTTTGTAGTTGAAGGGGGTTTGGGAGCTTACAACACCGTGATTACCGAGCTTTTTGACAAAGACAACACTGGTCAGGATGACCCACTTGGCAGGTATTGCTACTTGTACCAAGTATACTATGTGAATAATAAATTACATTCGAATCAATTCTTAGAGAATAGTATATCTATTCTATCCCTTAACTATGAATCATGAGCTTGCATTTCAACAGTGTATGAAAAAGATACAACATTCAAACTTCTGTTTATATAGCATGAGTAATATGAAGGAATTTAAATTCTATACGCATACACGATGATTCCTAAATCTTTGTTTCATATATATAAAATGTTTCATACAATACTACAATATTTCATATATATAAAAAAAGTAGAAAGATCTTTATTTTTCAGATTCATGTCACCATGTTACTCTTATTACATTCTATTTATTATAATATTTATTTAAATTGGGGAATATTTGTAAACAGTACAATTTATATCATAGCATGTTTTGCATGTGTTATTAATTAATAAATGTATTATTATTATTTAATTAACTACATAACTATTGCACATAAATCATTAGCTTTGAAGTATTTACTATCAGTGAGATTAAAATATTGCAGTGTTGTATATACTATAGCTATATTATTTTTGCTATTGTATGTACCTTGCTTCATCATATGATGTATTTATATAACACTGTATAATCATCACTTAAGTTTTATTAGCATATCATAGAATGCAACGTTTATTTTGCTTTTATAAAAAAAGAAATACAGATGAATATAGATGTTAAGAAAAAAAAGAAAAAAGAAAAAAAAATTTGCAATCAATACATATTCTAAATTTATAGGGCCACAATAGAAGTCAATCGCGTTAAAAAGAAGGGAGTATTAGATACGGTATGTAAATAAATATTATTTAAGTATTACAATATTAATTAATCATTTAACGATGATCAATGTTATTTAAAAGTGGGTATCCTTGGAACAAGCAAAACATGGAATGGTTCATTTAAGATTAACATGGCTTCAACTTACAAAAAATCTTAGTTATTTGCAAGCTGTAAGTATATCATTGTATTAATAGTTTTATCATAAATTAACATAAAGAAATATGTATGTATATATTTTTTTTGTAGGCATTAATGGAAACTCAAGAACTTCGTGTAACATCTATGAGTACGGCTGTACTTATTCTTTACGTAGATTCAGCTAAAAATTTACCCGTAAGGAATATTTTATTTTATTTTATTTTATTATATTATAATAATGAAGATAAATAATTATGAAAAATATTTCAGTGTCTTCGTGGAAGTAAACAGCCTGATGTATATCTTCAAGCGAGCATTGATAATCAAACACAACGGACTAATACAATATTAAGATCATGTGATCCGGTATGGGAACAAGGGTTTACTTTTCTAATCAGCAATCCAGAATCCAGTATAATGCACATCCAGGTCATTGATCTATTCGATGATATTAAAATTACAATACAGTATTTATTAAATTATTTTCTAATTTTTTTTATTGAATTTGTTTATATAGATATTCGATGAGAAGACTAATATGACGGTCGGAGAAATGTCTTACAAGATTTCTTTACTTACCGAAAAAGATAATCTTGAAGTAACTCAACAACCATACGATTTACAAATGGCAGAAGCGGATAGTAAACTTGTCTTATCGATGTCCTTAAGTGTAAGTAATAATTATACGAATTAATATATGTTTAAATAAGAATGACCTATTTTTATTTAAAAATAATTCTTAATTATCATTACATGTAGATTCTCAAATACGAAGAACCGGAACTTACTTCTGAAGACGAAGATGATAAAGAAAATGAATTGATTAAACAAATGGTACGTCAAGAATCCAACGTCAGTAATGCCTTTCAATCTAGTGGTAAGTTTAAGAATATTTATTGTGTCTGTTATTGCTCGAAAGTATATAAAATATATTACCTGATTCATTGTATTTCTATTGTAGTACCTCCAAGTCCTCTTAAAAAACAATCTTCAAAGGAATCAATCAATAGTACTGCATCTGCTCCAATAGCACCAATTGAAGAAACGATTTCGCATGCGGAAGAGGAGGATATTATTGTTAATTCCGCACCATCTCTTTCTTCTTCATCATCTCCAGGTCTTATTCATAGAACTCCAAGTACTACATCGTCTGCCGGTGAATCGAAATTAGGAAGAATACAATTAACTATACGGTACAGTGTTCAAAGACAAAAACTTATTGTTGATGTTCACAAAGTTGCGTAAGTATTTTCATTTTATTTTTTTTTTATTATATTTAATAATATATAAAATTAAATAGATATTTTTTAATGATTTTTATATATTACAGAAATTTACCTCTTCCACCAAATGATCCATCCAATATACCAGATCCGTACGTAAAACTTTACCTTCTACCGGACAAGCATAAAGAAACAAAACGTAAAACGGCCGTAATGAAGGACAATTGTAATCCGATATTCGATGAAAAGTTTGAATATCTCTTATCGCAAGCTGATTTAAATTCACGCATATTAGAGGTTTCTGTTTGCACGCAGAAAGGTTGGCTTTCTACCGGTAGCAAAATTATGGGCCAACTTCGTTTAAATTTAAGCGAGGTTTATGTTAATAAATCACAAACTACTTGGTATGATTTAGAGCCAGAGACGAAAGATTAAAAAACAAAACAAAACCAAAAATGATAACGACGATAATTGGTGTTAAAGACAAAATTTTATGAACTGTGCATGTGCCTAAATCTATCGATATTCAATTAATAGCTTTTTATATTAACAAAGAACATATCTTCGGTGCTAACTCGCGTTCCTATTTCAGATGATTATTACAATAGTTAAATCTTAAAAAAAAACCGTCCGAATTATTATAAAGTTATGTTTGTGATATTACTAAACTTTAAACAATATAACAAACATTATATTACTGTTGAACATTTAATTTCTAATATATTAATTTTATTTTATTTATTTATCCTCGTTTCATACTTATTTAATAAATTACGTATAAGTTACTAACTTATTACGCTTAAAAATAACCAAAATGCATTTACTATATAATAATGGAAAGAAAGAATATATGCTGGATGGAGTGGAAAGAAAATATAATATAATATATGCTACAAAATCATATAAATATTGTCTATTTGAAAGTATTTTATCAGAAGAAAGTAATTGCTAAAAATATACTTTTATAGCATATTTTTTATTGAAGACAATTCATTATTTTCTACATCATAAAAATATTAATATATATTAATATATATATATATATATACATATGTGTACTATGTTTTTTTGTGTTATATATAATATATAAACATGTAACAATATAAATCATTGATAACAATAAAAAAATATAAATAGAACATCGAGACTTGTAATTATTGTATTATTGTAAATGAATATTTGTAAATGAATTAAACGAAATACGATATTTTAATGTGATAAGGAAAAAAAAATATATAAAAAGAATTATCCTGCAAAAAGTAGAAAAAAGGTATTATCACGTGTGCGTAATAGTTATCACCAAGGTAACAACCTTAGTAAATAAGTCGTCTGTTCGTTTGGTTATATCTCATTCACCACGATTAGGAAGTTTATTAAAATATTATTTTATTATAATTTTGAAATATTTATATTAATTTATAAAAAAAAAATGTTACGAGCACCAGTACTACCTCTTCTACCTGGATTCAATTTTGATAAGAATGTAAGATCTCAATTTGACACATAGTAATAATTATCAAATGACATATAAAGTAGAAAAAAGATATATCATTTTAAATTACAGCTAGGTCGTACTAAATTTCATAGAAGCCAATACTTTGACAAAATACACGATGGTGTTTATTACCTTTCTGAAAAAAAATCTGACTTTGGTCGTTATCCATCTATTTATCCACGTGGTGAAGTACAGGAGATACCACCTTGGATAGCATACGATGGCCAAGTATAATTTGATCAATTATCTAATTAAATAACAATATATTTGTACAGTTTTTCTTAATATTTATTTTATTTACTTTAGAGATTAATGTTCGATGCGTATTATCAAGAGACCGTACAAGAAAGATGGAAATCACCATTTCAAATTCGTCAAGTTACAATAAGTTTTTTTTTAGAAGACGGAACAATGAAAATATCCGAGCCGATCGTAGATAATAGTGGCTTAGAACAAGGTTCAATGGTGCATGATCTCTGAACTTTTTTTTTTACCATATGTATATATACAATATTAAAAAAAAAAAAGGATTTATACAATTGTCGGTCAATATTATTTTACATTACCTTACAAAATGATGAAGTTTTTTTTTTTTATTCAGATCGTAATGTAATTATTAATTGTTTAAACACAACTATATAGACAAATCATTTAATATAAATATATTATGTAAGAAAGATGTTAAATACTACAGTCATTTTGTAAGGTGATAAAATAATTTTGATTAGTTTTATTAATTTGATATTTAATATTTATTTATTTATAGGTGTTTTGGTAAGACGTCAAAGAATTCCAATGCCAGATCCAGTTAAATATAGATTTTATGATATCATAGATTTAAATATCGGTAAAGAACCGGAAATATATGGTAGGGTATATAAAATAGTTGATTGTGACAAGTTTACAAGACGATTTTTAAATCGTATGGGTATACCAGTACCGGATCCAATTAAAATACCTAAAGATCCATACATGGAAGCAAGAAAAATCGTAAGCTTATTTAAAAATCAAATATATGCACGGCTGACAATGTTTTGCTATAAAATCTCAGACACATTGTGTACATTTAAATGTATTATCATGTGACAAATTAACATGAAATATTTTAACAGCCAAATTTTCCCAAAAAACCAAGAACTTACAAAATTGACAATCTTGGTAATTTTTTAAAATACGATAGACAAGTATTAAGATTTTATGGATACTGGGACGACACAGATAATCTTCATGGTATTATACACGATCTTGAAATTCATTATTATCTTGCTGACGATACCATTGAAATCAAAGAAAACTTTCCTCCCAATTCTGGAAGAGATTCTGGATGTACTCTTGTTAAAAGAATGAAAATACCTAAAGTAATATTTTATTTAATATAACAATCAATTTTGATTTAAATTTATTTATAAGATCGTGTTCCATCAACGTATTAAAAATTTTAAATCAATTTTAGTTTTTTTCGGGATTGGATCCAATCGGTGCTGGTGATCCTTTTACAATTTTAAACGTAATGAGTGACGATACTAATCGAACTTATACGATGATAGACTCATTAAATACTGGATTAACGAAGAAAGAATATTACAGGGATAATGAATTATCAATAGGTGCTAAAATGAACGTTTTTGGAAGAACTGTTGTTATAACGGACATGGACACATTCACGAAAGAATATTACAGGTGATTTATATTATAGAATAAATATTAATCTCACAAATGAAGGATAAAAAATTGTATATTGAAATATTGATTTAACTTTTAAGAACCAAATATGGATTAAACGATTTTATTCCGTTGGAGAGACCGCAAAAAAAAGATGAGATTTGTTTACCTGTTGAAAAATACATTCCACCGTACAATGGTTTCGGTTCTTACGACGATTCTCTTGGAAATTGTTTAACGATGATACCGAAAGCACCTAAAACGGATTTCGTTAAATTTCTACATTACGATAAGTTAGATTTATTATTCGTCATTTTATTTTTTTTTTTTTTGTTCAAATTTTAATCTCATTGCATTTGGAATTATTTTATTTTCTAAATAAATAGGCAAGGTTTCAACAGTCGAGTTTTAAGATTTCGTGCACAAATGATATCGAAAATACCGGAAAATTTGGATAGACATTTTATCATAAGAGTTTATCTCATAGACGATTCGATTTCTATTTTTGAATTAACGAAAAGAAATTCAGGTATGTCTTTCGTTGTAATAAATTTGTTAAATTCCTTTCGTAAAATGAATGTTTACCAATTTAAATTATTTTCTTGTTTTGTTTTAGGTTTTAGAAGATGTTTATTTTTAAAAAAGATGCCGGTAATGTTACCGAAACAGAACATATTCTCTAGTACAAAACCGGAATATTTCAAGCCAGAAGATTTTTATATAGGAGCATGTTTGAATATAAACGAGTTTCATTTCTCGATTATTTCTGCCGACGATTACGCGCTACGTTACATGGAATTAAATTGCGAAAAGGTATAAACGTGTTTTTTTTCTTTTTCTATAATAGCAAATTATCATAATTATTCAATTATTATTTATTAGTTTCCCAAAGCAAATATCAAATTGATCATGAGAAAATTAAAAGAAGCATTAACACCAGTTTATAAAGAATTTGTTCAAAATTATTCGCCATCTACGTTAACTGAACACAAAATTCAAACGTTGGAATACGACAAATTTAGGAATGCTTTGCGCATGTATTTAGGAGATCAAATAACCGAGCACGAAATAATTACAGTTGCCAGACGTTATTCTTCACACGAAAAGAAAGAATTTCGCACGAGGGAATACGTCAGGTAATTCAAATAAAAAGAAAAATAATAATTGTACCATATATATTAAATTGAAAATTGGTAAGATAGGATTTTTTTGTTTGTTTGTTTGGATTTAGACAATTGGTTCATACTGAACTTAATCGAGATATATGGAACGAGGCTGATAGATTAAAGGAAGATCTTTTACATTGGGATAGACAAAAAATTGGTTACTTACCACGAAGTACGGTTTACGCTGTTGTACGCGCTTGTAGAATACCATTGGATATCGAATTAATAAATTCGATGTTGGATAAGTAAGTGTTTTCACAAATTTTCTATTGATTATTTTTTAAAAGCTAATTTAATAATTGTTATTACAATTTATAAAGTTTACGCAAAGATGAGGAAGGTAAAATAGATTACAACGATTTATTGGATTTTATCAACGTTAAAATAAATCCATTACCTCCTGCAATTCCCATAAATGTTAAGGTATTTCATTAGTTGTTATTGTATTTTGATATTTTACCAGGGTGGATTGAAAAAGTTTTGATGAACGTCGAAAAATACGAATGATTTTGATCAGGCAAATAATTGGTTTTAAAAAACTTTACAATCCATCCCGAGTTTTTTGAACATATTATTTTATTAATAATTTAATGTATATTTATACACAGACAGCATTATGGTGGGCATCAGAAAAAGAACCGGATTGTGGTTCTGGTATTGATTGGCATTGCTTTATCAAAGATCTTGATATAAAAACGAATGACGAGACGTTGGATATCAAAATAGAACAAAATAACGAAAATTCTTTGGAACGTGAAGAGAAATAATTTAAATGATAATATTATCTAATATTTAAAATGTTATTTTATTTTTGTTTGACTCTGACTATTTTATAACGTAAAACATTTAAAAATTGATCATCACGCACGTAATTAGCGTTAACGTACTATTTCTATTTACAGTATATCATCCGAGATGCTACGATATATTATTAATTAATTGTATCCGACATACTAAAAATTACGCTAATATTTTTTATCGCATTTTTCTTTTCTTTTTTTTTTTTTTATACAGAATATTTCATAATATACGAAGTGACTATAATTGAACTCAAATTACAAATATATACGTAGGATTATAATTCTATTTACGTATACAACATGAAATACGATTGTTTTTATCTCTTTCTCTTTTTCTATAAAGTTTCGATTAGAAAAATTAA